GACTTATTTTTCATTCGTAATTAGAGTTTAGAGACTATCAGCAGGTCAGATGTATGGGATGAATACCTGCCATTTCGTTTAGGGTGACAAGGGGACTGGTAATTGAATTTCTTCCCAATCATATGAGTAGACAGGGCGTATGTGATATGTGGAAATGCATAGTCTTCCTTAAAATTCACACCTGCCCTGCGACCCAAGGGCACTCGTGGTCGTTTGGCGTAATGTGTCGAGATCATACGCTGCGGCGTCGTGGTTCGTGTCCCGCTGGAGTGTTGAGTAGACTTGGACGAGTGCGAAACTGCAGTCCAGTTTGGATGAGAATGTCTTTTGGCCAAAATGGCTATGCGAAATTCAATGAAAAACTTCTGCCTACCCAGAGCATTGTGGGAAAATTCAACTACCAGTCCCCTTATCACCCTGAACGCAATTGGACGAACACACCTCATACATGTGAAAAGTGTAATGCTGAAGTTGTAAAAATATTCCATAGTTTTGCGTCACAATACAACTGACCTGCCCTCTTTACGACATGCATACTTGATGGGACTATTTCATGGACGTCTGGGAATGTACCACGTCCGCGGTCCGAGCTAGGAAATGATGATTCATACAATCGACTCCGGACTGGGTGCGTTCTTCTAAGTCTTCCTACCATTATGACCAAGTTACGGAAACACGGTCAAACAACCTCTATTTGCTTAACGTTTAATATTATCGAGTATAGTTATTTAATGTGGTTGCTCGATCATCTTAATCTGACACCTCAATCTCAGTCCTGGTTAGTCAGAGTGAATCCTGCTGCTGCTGATGATGATGATAATGATTAAAAGTAGTTGAACCGCCCAAGTTGTATCCGAAGGGAAGGTGATTTCCATTGTTCTGGCATGTCAAAGTGTCCTCGACTGTGTGACCAATTTTGCGTTTAGCACAAGCGGACACGCCATCTCAAGCAAGCCCAAACCGGGACCTTGTGAATGGATGCTGATACCGCGTCCCAAAAACATGCCTTTTTTAACAAGAACAAGAAACATTAATTTCTTGATGCCTTGATCTTGGTCAAGATACAGTATTTTTCGAAGGTATGAAGACCAAGATGGTGTGGCCTATTGTATGATCGAAGTCCCCTTCAGTTGTACAGAAGTTGTCTAACCCTGTTTTTACAAATCGGTCATATTTCTAGAAAGAACTAGAGGAGTCCATTGTATGCATCATCGTTTCCAAAGTAGGACCGTGGACGTGGTACATTCCCACACGTTTCGCCGGAATCATCAGTGAAGCTTGTCATTCTTCATCGGGAGATTAGACATGATAGTCAATCTGATGCTTCTGTGCTTTATAACTTTCCACGTCCCTCTATTACCAAAACAAAACCCAATTTCCGAATGCAATTTATTCCACATTTTAATGGCAAAATTTTAATGTTTTGGGTGAATTGAAAGATACCTTTTGACCTGAAACAAGTGTTTGTATCATTTTATGCAAGCGATAGGAGGCCGGCTTACTCGTCTTGATTAGAGGTCGCCAAATATTAATGAAAGTTCAAGCGATGGCAATTTTAATAGCGTCCTTTTCTTAGCCCAATTTTATCTCTAATAAATTCGACTTAATTTAAAGATTGTTTGACCTTTTTTTCGCAACTTCGTCATATTGGCAGGAAGACTTAGAGCAAGGCATTCAGTCCGGAGTCCATTGTATGCATGATCATTTCCAGACGTGGTACATTCCCACACGTTTCGCCGGCATCGTAAGTGAGTTTTGCCATTCTGAGCACCACACAACAACTCGTCAAAGAGACAAGTGACCAAACGTGTGCTAAACAGTTGTGGTATCTCCCCTTCTATTTGTATGAAAATAGGGTTTCGAGACTACCAGTAAATCAGTGTAATGAAATGTATTCACCCTATTTCGTGTAAGGTGATGAAGGACTGGTAGAAGAAGAATTTTCCCGCATTGATATGAGTAGAGCTGACGTTTCCATTCAATTTCACATAGCCTTGCTTTCCCAAAAGTTGCTCTCATCCAGGCACCAGTGGACTGCAGTTTCGACCTC